CACAAGACAGAGGAATACATGAAAGAATGGAGAAAAAAGGAGGAGGAGGAGTAACATGAGGAGGAAATCAGAGCGGTTACAGAGAAACACCAGAGAAGGAGGAGGAGAGGATAAAATGCTAGGTTAGTGAAAGCAGTTAACATCTTTTCACAGACATGTTCAGTTTCATCATCATCTATCTACATGTTAGTGTGTTTACTGCAGCACACTGAGTCAAACACTAGCTCAACACGTCATCCAATCAGGAGTGATCACCCTGCCGAGCCATGCTCAAACTAAAGACATTAAAAGTGTTCCTGTAGGATCACAGACTCCACCTGCGGGGGCGCACTCACAGAGAGCTTTAAACTATCCTCCCACATTATTAAAACATATCTGTAATGAAGAACATGTGCTGGACCACGAGTGTCACAGTTTAAACTTCAGTATGAATAAAAAGTTAACACTATCGTTACCACGGCAACACAAATCAAAAGTCCTAGTCGCCAAACACGGGCTGATTTATGGTTTTTAATTTGCAGAACTGCAGACAGACTCCTTTACCACAACACTTCCTGATTGTTGTATTGCATTGTTGTCACGCTAGAGAGGGGGCGGGGCTTCCTGCCTGGGTGTATGGCCAAATGGCTGAGAGCCAGCATCTTGATGAGCTCAGCGTGCAGGTTTGCAGAGTCGTGGGAGGCTCGATGAGAGACAATTGACTGCTTCCCGAGTTTTATCTTGAGTTATTGTCCCGTGTTTTTATGTTAGAATACTGAGCTGTCATGCGACGGAGGAGAACGCGCTGGAAACTGAGCAGAGAGAGTAATTCCAGAGTGAAGCATTGTGGTGCCGCACGAGACGCAGCACAGGTGAGGTCTGTCTCTCTAGCTTTAGCAGCCGGTCTCAGGTTTGTGTTTGATTTGATTGATATGAAAACAGGTGGTGCATCATTAAGTCAGAATACTGAGTGTGACTTTAAAGAGCGCTCAGTGTGAACACACAAGCTGCTTCTCTTCAGTGAGCTGCAGTAAAACATGATCCTAACTTCACACACTGTTCACATGTATGTAGAACATGAAGCTGGATGTTTACAGCAGAGCCATGATGTTTCTATGTCTGTAATAATAACGAGTGTAGATGATGACAGTGAAGCAGGAAGCAGCACGACTTCCCTTTGATGTTCCTGAGAGGACGAACAATAAACTGAAAATACAGAAAAGACTAAGCTAATTAATAATGAAGCTCTAAGGAGAGAGTAGCCCTTCAGTTATTTAAAGCTTAAACAAAAGTTTGGTTAGTTTTTAACTTTATTTGGAGGGAAACATCTTTTCATCGTGTTTTCATCACCAGAGTGTTTAAATGTGTTTGTACATGTTCAGTGTGTGTGTGTGTGTGTCTTTTATAAATTAAACCAACAACATGTTCATTGAAAGACACACAATCTATCCTACAAACACAACGTGGATCCGCCATGTTTGTAGTTTTCTAACTGTAGTAACATGACTACAGGCCCTTACTCCGAGTCACCAGAACCCTCCACCAATAGGGAGTCAGAGGTCTCGGTGGGCGGTTCCAGATCTCTGTCAATGTCCAATCACGGAAGAGGACAGGAGACAGACACACATTCAAATCAAAACACACGCGCGCACACACACAAGCGCGCGCACACACACACAGGAAAATGGAGAGAAGGAAGAAGAGAAAAAGACGAAAGACAGTCACAAAACACAGCAAGATAAAAGAACAGACAAGTGTAGCCGACCTGACGACCATGGAGACTGAACGTGTCAGACGGACTTTAACCCCTTCTGTTAGAAGTTTAGGTTATATTAACAGCCTGATAACACCCCCCTTCCCCCCCCAATGACATGATGGGGGGACTACCTGCAGTCTCTGAGGCGAGCTCAGATTGTGACAGTGAGACAGATGGTGTTGTTATCTTATACAACAAGGAATAAAACAATGAATGAAGTAGATTTAATATGATTCCTCGAACGCCTTGTTGAGATAACATTCAGGAGGATAAATAAAAGTGTTGTCAGGCTCTGCAGAGGAGCAGTGAGGTGAGGGTCAATGTCTCCAGGTCGACAGGTTCATATTAAACAAAGAGAGAGAAAGACAGAGCCGACAGCAGCACAGACACTTTACACTTAGCTGTATGAGGGCGCCGTCACACCGCTGTTTACAGACAAAAAAAGAGACGCACGTCCAAGTCCACTACGGCACATCAGAGAACATATCAGAGAACTGACATTTTATCAGATACAGCCATAAATAAAATCGATAAATAAAAGAGAGCCGCGGTCATAGAACATGACAGCTTCCTGTCTTTACTCTGAGTCACATACAGACTGAATGAAGGCTGTCCACGTTGTTTACCTGAACTGTACCGTGTCACAGCGTGCCGTTAGTACAACACGGAGCGCTCACACTGCTCAAATAAACCCGACTTTAGGGGGGGAAGCGTTCTTAGGCACGGTACGGATTGCCAGTGTGACCGCGCCCTTAAACACAAACACACCACAACTGTCTACACACACACACACACAGAGAGAACAGCACCTGTCAATCAAAGTCAAGGTGCTTCAACAGCTGTGTGTGTGTTGCATATATCTGATGTTTCTGTCTTCAGTGTCTCATCCAGCTCATCAAGAGCATTTACCTGAGGAAGCCGTCATCGTTCACAGCAGCAGAGACTGCAGCAGGCCCCGCCTCAGAGAACACGTCAACCAATAGGCTGCCAGCGCTTGCTGGAGCAGCACCGACAGGAACCGCAGAACGAATCCCGAGGAGGTCAGCTGACGGAGACGGGGTGGACTAAGAGAAAGGAGAGAGCGGTCAGTCGGACCATGATGATAAAACACTTCAGTTAGACGATACACAGAGAGCGTGCTCACAGCGTTAGAGGCCGCCATGGCTGACGTGTCAGGGCCCCTCTCGCCCCCTCCGTTCAGCTCTCCTCCCTCCCTCTTGTTGTCCTCCAGCTCGGTCACAGACACGGCGCCCGGGCCTTTCTTCTTCTTCAGTTTAGCCAGGATGGACGACTCCCTCTCTGGGAACGGAGGCATCTCCTCCAGGACGGTCGCCTGAGGAGACACAGAGAGACACAGGTGTTCTTTAAGAGCTACACACACAGACACACACACAGAGAGACACACACGGACACAGAGACACACACACACACACACAGACACAGACACAGACACAGACACACACAGAATCACAGACACACACACAGAATCACAGACACACACAGACACACACAGACACACACTCACACACACTCACACACACACACCAGGACGTCAGTGCTGGCAATGGAGGAAAGCTTCAGGTACTCCACGGCTCTCTGCTGCAACTCCACGTCGGAGTTTCGGATCTGGCTGTCGCAGCGCAGCACCTCCTGGATGGTGGCCTTGGTCTCTGGGAACAGGTTGATGAACTTGATGTAGGCGGACAGCAGCAGGGCGCGGGTGGGCACCGAGCACAGGTGGAATTTGGAGTGAAGAAGGTTAAACTGGACCAGGGGGCTGAAACATCAAGCAATATTATTAGTCATCAATCAGACTTTTAACTTTGTGCTTTAGCAGACAAAAAACACTAACCAACCTGGATCGAGGGTCACCAGCAATAAGATTTCCAAACTCTCCCAGAATGTAGCCTCCAACTTTCACCATGTTCTCATGGCAGGCGGGGGCCTGCAGGGCCTGCAGCAGAAAAAACACCGATGTTACTGTGTGATAATAAGAGGCGTTCTAAAGAGCTGGATCAGACATCAATCAGAGCATTCAGCAAATACTCACTCTTAAAAGCTGATCAATAATAATAATAATAATGATAATAATAATACATTGGTTTTATAAAACACTTTTCTGAAAACTCAAAGACGCTTTGACAAAAACATAAAACAATAAACTACAAGGACAGTACAACGAAAAAGTAATGTGGGGGGGGGGAATTAGTGGTTGTAGGCAGTGATGAAGAGTTGAGTTTTGAGGGATTTCTGGAAGGAGGTGAGTGTGTGTGTATGTGGGGGGGGGGTCTCGGATGTTATTTGGGAGTGAGTTCCAGAGGGTTGGAGCAGCAATGGAGAAAGCCCTGTCACCCCAGGGCCGATAGTTTGGGTGCGTTCGAATTGTCCCTCCTATCTCCTTTCACTATCCACTTTACCTTAACCCCGGAAGCATTTAAGTGGCGGCCATGATAAGAGCTGTTCGAATTCTCTAAAAGTTAAGGAAAGGTGGGTCAATGCTTCCTTTATAACCTCCTTTAGCACAGGATACACTGGACCATCCTTTACCAAAGGAGATGAGATATGCCGCCCCACAATTCCTTGCGGCCACAAAATTTAAAGCGAGTCGCACATCTGACCGTTCACGGAAATGAACGATGATTGTAAAGTGACACAGATCATGTAAGGGATAAAAAGAGACATTTTTATCCAGATGATGTTTTATTCAACATATTTCATTCACTTAAGGATGCTATGTGCAGTTGTACATTTGTATGCTTAAAATATTATGTGTAGGCTATATCTTGCAGAAATGTAACAATTAATTTCATACAATCATACTTATGTTGATGTTGATTTATGAGTGGACAGGAAGCTGATGGTTTCACTTTTGTTAGGCTACTTGTAGCGTGGTAATCTATATTTCTTTTATATCAATCCCAACCTTGTGGTGATTAGGATTATTTCACCGGTAAGAAGGCACAGGGGAAAGTTTTTTAGATGCGCTTTTAGTAGTCCATTTTCTGAACAATGTAGTTTCAACACGGCGGACCCACGTCATTAACCTCCGCCGACCTGTCGCATTTAGTGACGCCGCCTAGGAGGGACAATTCGAACGCACCCTTTGTCCTGCGGGGGGGGGGGGGGGGGGGGGGGGGAGGATGTCAGTCTACATGTGAACATTTCAGGCAGTATCACCTCAAAGACCGTCTTGGCGGCGTAGCCCTGCACGTCATCTCGGTTGATGACGATTTGGATGACACGATACCAAACCTCCTCACTGACATAGTCTCCAGCGATGCGGATCAGGTTTAGGATGGTGTCCACGTACCATGAGTAATCCACGGCGTACTTCTCTGCCAGGATGGCCACCTTCAGCACTGGAGGAGGAAACACATTAAAGCTTATAGTCTGATAATCTTACAGTCAGATGGTCGCCTCCACGCGGCTCCACCCACCATCTCCTCCCTGATGGAGTAGTCTGCGGTCTCCAGGTAGCTCAGCATCTCAGCTACGATCTGCTTGGCGTTGCTGCGGTCACACATGGCGTAGAGCAGATCAGCCGCTCGCTGCCGAACACTCACGTCCCTCTCAGTCTGCAGAGACACAGAGCACACGTTACTGCTTCAACTCAATGATTTGATAAGACAGAGGTAAGGCGTGTTCTGTGCACGGGGCGCCACCTTGAGGCGTTGATGACGGTCTCGATGTGCGTCTTCACAGCTTCATGAGAGAACTCGGAGCTGGCCAGAGTGCACATGCTCTCCAGAGCCAGGTAGCGCAGGTTAGTCTCTCTGTGCTGCAGGAACTGGCCCAGCTGGTTACAGGCTCGCACCAGCAGGTTCGGCTCACTGAGGACCAGAAGACCAGAAAGTCAAATTAAACTCCCCGAGTTAGACGTGTCAACATAAACCTGAGCAGGCTGTAAGAGCTGACTTTACATTTAAAACTTCTAACAAAGACCACCATGTAGTGAATAAGACACTCTGACATCATCATCTGCTTGGCTGATATCTCACCTGTCGTAGTGGATGATGAGGGAAATGGCCTCGAACAGGATGGCATTCTTGGCATTGGAGTGCTGAACCTTCTTGGACTTGGGTGGCTCCTGGGCCTTGTTGAGGATGGTCTCCAGACACTCCACCAGACGACCTTTAACAGCGCCATCCTCTGGAGGAGGGTAGCACTGCAGCAGGCGCAGCAGCTTGCAGGAGAGCCACGGTGCAGGGACAAAGTAGTAGGTGTAGTCCTGCAGGTCGGTGGAGGCTGACGACACAATCTGCAGAACACACAGGTATCAGAAGGTAACCAGTGGAGACTCTGCATCACTAACACTCATTCAGGAAGGATCAGCAGTGTTCTCTCGTAGTGACTGAACAGGGGTCAAGTCATCCACCTGAGAATCTTCAATGTAGTTTACTAGAGCTCTGATTGTATCTTTGTTTATTATTATTTGTTTATTTAACAGCATGCAGTAAACATGCTTCATATGTTAAGTACGAAGTAGATGCCATGCATAAAGGTTTCTAGCCTTGGCTAATTGCAACCCCCGTCCCTGGCTAGGCTTTCAAAATTAAAACTGAATCATTAGACTTACAGAAACATTGATGTTATATTTGTATATTTTATATTTGTATGTTAAGCTGCTCTTTGTTACTGTCACTCACCCTGCTGAGACGAGACACGGCCAGGGACACACAGGTCTTAAACTCATCCGGATTCTTCTGACTCAGACAAGTGATGAGAGAGATGGCAGCTGTCACCACACCCTGAAACACACACATCAACATCATCTTCATCTTCATCTTCATCTTCATCTTCATCTTCATCTTCATCTTCATCTTCTCTGTTATTTCAGGTCTTAAAGGAAACTTTCATCACGTTGTTCAGATGTAGTGTGCAGGTGTTCTCACCATGTGCTGGTCGTTTAGCAGGTGAACCACACGAGACGTCCACTCCCCCATCAACACGAGGTCAGGAGAGGTCTTATAGAGCCTCAGCAGACAGAGAGCGGCGGACTGCTTCACGCTGTCCATGGTGTCTCTGCAGGCGTCACATGACCAGCTCAGTCACACATGTGTTTGAGACATGACAGATACTATCAGGAGAGTTCAGACCACTCACCCAGCCACCAGGATCCGGGGGATCTCGCTGGCGAAGGCCTCGGCCATCTCACGGCTCCCCACATTGGCGATGCAGTGAAGCGCAAGGCACATGAAGGTGGGGTTACGGCTCGAAAGGTCGTTCTTGATGGCGTTGTTGATGAGACGGATGAGCTCACTGTTACTGTTCACCAGCACGGAGATGAACAGGTAACCCTGCAGGGTTTAAAATCATACACATCAGATACACCTGGGAAATGTAGTCCTTTAACGTTTTCAATTACAAACATCAGATACACCTGGGTAATGTAGTCCTTTAACGTTTTAGATTAGACACATCAGATACACCTGGGTAATGTAGTCCTTTAACATTTTAGATTAGACATATCAAGATACACCTGGGTAATGTAGTCCTTTAACGTTTTAGATTAGACACATCAGATACACCTGGGTAATGTAGTCCTTTAACATTTTAGATTAGACATATCAAGATACACCTGGGTAATGTAGTCCTTTAACGTTTTAGATCACAAACATCAGATACACCTGGGTAATGTAGTCCTTTGACATTTTAGATTAGACACATCAGATACACCTGGGTAATGTAATCCTTTAATGTCCCTTCATGTTGTTGACATGTTGAGAGAGTTGTTGACTCCAAGTGTATCATGGTAACTGTAGTTTCTCAGTTGTATTGTACAGCTCATTTTTTATGACACATGATGATGATCTATGTGTAATAAATCTTTAACACCAGCAGGTGGAACTAAAACACTGCTAGTTCACACCTGTGTGTTTGAGTGACATTAATTATTATAATTCACGAGGACTAAACAAACAGCTGGATTATGTTATTGTGATGGTTGATTCAAACTGCCCGACTGACAGATAGCTGCTCCTGCTCCCTCTCTCGTCTCCTGCTCCCTCTCTCCTCCCTCTCTCCTCCCTCTCTCATCTCCTGCTCCCTCTCTCCTTTCCTGGTCCCTCTCTCCTCTAATGAAGCCTTTTACTCCTGTCCCTACATTTAGTTGATGGTTTCTATCCTCAGGCCAGTCTTAATGTTAGTGTCCTCACTGAAGGGTCAGAGAATAAAAAGCTTTGTGCTGTGTAAAGTTCCTGACTCGACATTATCCCGCTGACTCAACACTTCCTGTTCCTGAGTCCACCACACAGTGAGGAAACAGGTTCAGCTCTCTGTTCTGCTTTAACATCAACTATGTTCTTCACCTCCCTGTTCTCTACATGTTCAAAACAAAAAAAGAAATCAAGAGGAGCAGGAGGAGAAGGAGGAGCAGGAGGAGCAGGAGGAGCAGGAGGAGGAGGAGGAGGAGGAAGAGGAGGGTGACTATGTTCCTCTTGGGGATGATTATGTGGTCTGTTATTTCAGATTCAGGTTTTTTGTTCTTCACGTTTTGTAAAAAGATTCAAAGTCAGATTGAAAATGATCGATAGTGTTGGAAAGAACTGAAGCTTTAAACTAAAGTATAAGGTGACGGTCCAATCAGATCCACAGGTCGCTTCTCATTTCAATGTTTCAGAAAGATGTCTTTAAAACTATGACATCACGGCATGCTGACGTGGACTTTAAATACTTATTTGACACGTTTCAGCTTCAAACCTTCATCAGGAAGTCCAACAGATGAACAGAGAGCCTCTCGTCTCCCCTCATATCAGCTGGACTGTTATACCAACAACATCCAGGTGAAAAAGTTTGTTAATAAAAGTGAAGACGACTTCACAGATTGTTGTTTCAAACATTAAAGGTGAGTTCAGATAAGAGAACCTGTGACTGAAACTCCATCTCTGACGATGTGAAGCAAACGCCATAAAGCCAACATTTAAAGAGCGAGTCATGTCTCTGTGCAGACCCAGGTCAACGAGTTGAACCTGAACTGTAGTCTGGACCTGAAGCCCGGAGTCTGGATGAAGACCAGCACTGAACCAACACAGCGTGATAACACACAGGTCATTGATCCTCCTACAGCCTGGATCACACAGTCTTTCATATTCTGACATCATGATCCCACCATGTGATCAATACGAGCTGCTGATTAAACAGAAGAAACTGTCACATCTCAGATTGTGTTTCCCAGAACTCCTCGTTCTCCAAACCTCCCTGATTGTGTTCACACAACGTCACGTATCGATCCCTGAGCTCTACTTCTCCTGACGACACACACATCGTCTGCACTGAGTTTAAAAACAGACTGATGATGAGCTCATGATGTGAAAGATCAATCGTTAGAGACACACAGGCTTATTAAGAAACATGTGTTAGAGGGGGCGTGGCCTAATTCAAGACAAGACATTTTTGTTTTGAATAAAAAACCTTGGCTGACTACTAAAACTGTTTGAAGACGTTTAACATGCTCACATGAACTGAAAAATAACAAATCATTTGAACACACACACACACACACACACACACACACACACACACTGTTAGATGTCATGAAAGTATACTGTGCATGAAGAGTGGGGGAGGGGAGGGGGGGGCTTACCAATGAAGCTGAGCGCCTCTGGGACACGCACACACGCACACACGCACACACGCACAAACGCACACGGCAGTGGACTTACGATCTGCTTCTCGGTGTACTTGTTGGAGCTGAGCAGGTTGACGGCCTCCATGTGTCCGAAGTCGATGTCATGTCCGAGCAGGAAGATGAAGAGCAGCTTGCACACGTACTTCTTCTTGCTGTATCCATCCAGAGCTTTGTCTCCCTTGAACTTGGAGCGAATGTTGGCCAGCTCTTTATTGATCCGTTTGATCTCGGCTTCCTTACTCTTACCTGAAAGAACAGGAAGTGACACGTTGTCATCATTTACAATGTGCACAGGACGCCTCCTCTCACTGAGGGTAAAGAGTCTGTAAAGATGTGCTTTCAGATATTAAATATGAGACAAAAACATGACGAAATCTGATCAGTCACAACATGATCAAGGCGCCATAGCTTCAGTCACATGACCAGCGCAGACAGCTGGAGGAGTGGCCTCCTTTGAAAACACTGTAGAACTGCAGCACAGGCTTTTGAATTGAAGATTTGATATAAACGACACGTTAACATCAGCTAAAACCACAGAAGAAGAAACGTTCACACAGACCTTTATTAACTACAGATCTTCATCTCGGAGTGTTTCTGACTCCTCCTCTAGACTCTTAAAGCTCTGCCCCCCTAACCGTTTTCAATTCTCTGATGTTTAGGAGTTTAACCACCAGAGGGGGACTAGAACGGTCTCTGTGACCTCAGGAAGAGTCCAGGTCCAGCACAGGCCGAGTCTCTGCCCCACATTCAAACAACACCTGTGCACAAGTCTGCTTCAGTTTCTGAGACGCAGAGGGAGGAGCAAAGGAAATGTCTCTGTGAGCTCCAGTGAGAGAGGAGAGAGGGTCCAGGGGTCCAGACTACACCGTTACAAAGACCCAACAGACTCTTTTAGAGGATGTTCTGTTGGTTTCTGATCTGTGTGTGTGTGTGTGTGTGTGTGTGTGTGTGTGTGTGTGTGTGTGTGTGTGTGTGTGTGTGTGTGTGTGGATCAGAGTCTCATAATTTCTATAAACAGAGATAATCATGTTTACATAAAGACTGCTCACATCTCATTCACACGCTGGATTTTCAGCCAACCGGCAACGAGGTGTGGAAGATAAACCAATCAGAGCCAACCACCTGAGCAGGTAACGTGTGAAATAACATCGGGGGGGGTAGTAGCTCAGTCTGTAGGGACTTGGGACCAGAGGATTGCCGGTTCAAGTCCCGGTGCAGAACAAGTCTGGAAGTTGGTCTGGTCCAGTTCACTTCCTGAGTACTGCCGAGGCACCGAACCCCCACAGAGTGAATCTCCCCTAAACATTATATAATATATATATATATATATATATATTATAATGATCACAGAGGAGTTCACACTGAACGTTTTCATCAGTCGCCACAGCAGCTGATTATCTACTTCAGGAACTATTCATATTTATTCATGAATAATAAACCTCCATCTACAGCACAGAGAGCACTGAGCAGGGGGGACGGATTAGACAAATTAAATTAAATAATAATACATCTTAAATATTTAAAAAAAGAAGAGAAGAATCTAGATTTTAAATAAGTCGACTTTTTGTCCGACCTCCATCTGACACACACAGACGACGGGGTGGTCCGGATCCCTCCTATCTCCTTTCACTATCCTCTTCACCTTAACCCCGGGGAAAACGTCATGAGGTTAAGGAAAGATGTTAGGAGAATTCATAAAGGACTTAGATGGCGATGGCGCTGCTCTGACAATCCGACCACATTTCCACTAGGCAACGCCATTAATGTGGCGGGCCGGCAGAGGTTAATGACGTGGGTCTGCCGTGGTGAAACTACAATGTCCAGAAAATGGACTACTAAAAGATCTAAAAAACTTTCCCCTGTGCCTTCTTACCGGTGAAATAATCCTAATTACCACGAGGAAGTGAAATAAAAGACATATAGACTACCATTAGCTTCCTGTCCACTCGTACATCAACATCAGAATAAATATTATTACATTTATGAAAGATATACAGAATGTTTATCTGCACAAAGCATTCTGAAGTGAATGAAACTTCATCTGGATAAAAACATCCCTTACATGATCTGTGTCACTTTACAATCATCGTTAGTTTTCGTGAGCGGTCAGATGAGCGATTGGCTTTAAATGTTGCGGCCGCAAAGAATTGTGGGTCGGCCTATCTCATCTCCTTTGGTAAAGGATGGTCCAGTGTCTCCTAAAGGAGGTTATAAAGGAAGCATTGACCCACCTTTCCTTAGCTTTTAGAGAATTTAAACGGCTCTTATCACTGAAACACTTCGGGGTCATTTCACTCAGTGAGGAACCTTTCAGACGCACCCAACATGCTGATACTATGACCTCTACATGACCTCTAGTTTGACCTTGTTAAGGATGTTTGCACGGGTCAAAGTCAGGAGGAGGTTGGGCTGCAGTGTCACACTAATATAAAATAACACATTTAATATCATATACTGCAAAGAGTTGAAATAGATGGTAAATAAACTAAATGAGTTTCTTCTCTGACAGTAAATATGATTTTTAAGAACATACAGATGTGTCAGATCTGTGACATCACGATTATTTATTAAATTTGATATGATTCTGATATAAATCTAATGATGTCAACACGTGTTCGTTACCACGGCAACAACAATAGAAGTCCTGTAGAGCCCTGATGTTGGATTAATGACTGGGACACTCTGAATGGAACAGAGACATTTTAGTTTTCCTCATGATGAATCCTTCCTCTCCTCCTCACCTGGCTGATCCGACAGGTGACCATTTGAAATCTTTGGTGTTTTTAAATCAACTCGATATTTAAATAAAGAAGATTTTAGAGTTTTAAACAAGACGTCGAACATATTAACAGCATTAATACATGACAATTATATAAACACACACACACACACACACACACACACACACACACACACACACACACACACACAGAATCATACACATGTACATACACACACACACACAGGATCGTACAGATGTACATACACACACACACACAGGATCATACAGATGTACATACACACACACACACAGGATCGTACAGATGTACATACACACACAGGATCGTACAGATGTACATACACACACACACACAGGATCGTACAGATGTACATACACACACACAGGATCGTACAGATGTACATACACACACACAGGATCGTACAGATGTACATACACACACACACACACACACAGGATCGTGTACACACACACACACACACATTTCAGAATGAGAGTACAATGTGTCGTTGAGATGTTTGTGGTTATTATCAGTGTGACCGATGTGACAGTGTCACCGTATTTACGGTACAGTTACCGACAACACGTGAGGAACTACTGATTTCTACATTAGTGTGAATTTGACGGCTCGTAGGAGAATCAGGGAGACCTGTAGTAGTGCCGTGATGACGTCACGTCACTACAGTTCGTGCTGTTAATGACAGCAGTGATAACATGAAGGGGGGGGGGGTGTAACGGTGTTAAATGTGACTTACAGTTTCTGATGTCCGAGATGAAAACCGCTAATCCGCGCATCCCGTCTCCCTTCGATACAGCCGGCATGTTGGCAGCTTGGTGTTTGCTCTCCGGCCTGATCCGTTACCGTGAACCGACGGTCAGCTCCTCTCTCCGGCCTGATCCGTTACCGTGAACCGACGGTCAGATCTCCTGACTGCAAAGGGCCAACCTGACGCTGGTAGCAGCCCTATGAGTGCCCGTTAGCGGTGTGACGGTGTGTCGGTGGGTGGCTAGCTCCCTTAGCGCGTAGCAGATTAGCTGGATGTCGGTGGTTAAACCCGCAGAGGGAGAAGTTATCCCGGTTAACTGGCTCGTTTCCGCTGCTATGACAAGCTAACGTTATTTCATTCAATCCTTCTCAGGCTAACGTTAGCAGCTCCGCGCTCACCTGTAGTGTTGATTCAGGTTTAAAGACACTCCGTGGATGTTTCTAGAATCGGTCAGATCCGTTCATGAAAATAACGTCCGATGATTTAACGTTAAGTTACTTCGAGTCACGCACCGTAAAGCTAGCTCCACAGCTAGCTAGCTAGCTGGCTAGCGATATCATTCAAATGGTTGGAAACATCACCGGCTGACCGGAAACACTCAGCTGACAGAGTTACCTGCCGATCATCGATATGACATTAAACACCTGTTCTGTTTAAACCTGATAAATGAAATGTCCGGTCCGCACTAATTCTGCCTCCGCGGCTCGGTAAGGCTCGTGACACAAGAACCTACAGCAGGACCGCGCGCCACGTACCCGGGCACGCGTACGCTCCTTTCCAGCCCTGCGCTGATTGGCTGAGCTGGAGCTGAACCGTTATCAGAGAGAGGAGAGCTGAGATAAACAACGGACGCAGATTAGTATGACCGTAGACAGGTTCAGATGCTTCTCTGTTAACATGCACCTAACAGCTGAATGTGTCTTTGACTTTATCTGACACCCATGGGCGTCATAAAGGGGGGGTAGGCTCTTATTGGTCCTGAAATAAATCTCTAGTTTTAGTTTGGGTGAGTTTCTCTCTGAGTCTAAACAGAGTGAAGAAAAATTTACTTTATCCATCCCTGTAGGGTCCCCTAACCCTCTGCTTCTCACACTATATAAAACACACAGACACAAACCTGTGGACGTGCAGTTATAGAGAGATGTCAGGGGCCTACACATGGAGCACGCTGTGTCTGTTTGTGATTCGGTGCAATGCCTTGCTCCAGGGCACCTCGGCAGTGACCTGTCATCTCTGCAGCTCCCAGACCAACTTCCATACTTTGTTCCACATCGGGAGCTACTGCTGCAATAAATGCACATTTTACATTTTACAAACTCCATTTATCCCTTTTCGTCTTCTTATCCGAGGTCGGGTCACAGAGACAGAAAGTGAAGCTTTGTTACAGCATGAACATTGTTTTTTATTAAACACGGGTTATCTTTATGGCGTCATGTTTTTAAATGCTTTCTACAATCAAAGTGACCCTGACAGCTTTGAAGAGAGAACGATCGACCATAAATCAAAATCAAATGAATTGAAACATTTCAAACATTTGCTGCTTCCAGCTTCTTTGATGTTATTATGATTTAGTGAATTTAAAATCAGTTTTCTGAATATTGACTTGAAAAGAAGACGTTGGTGACTTGAATGAACTAAGTATAGGTATAGGTGATGATGAGGAGTTTGAAGTTGATATGCTGGAGGGGTGGCGAGCCAGTGGAGGTCATGGAGGATGGGGGTGATGTGGCTTTCTTCTCTTTTGAGTAAATAGATGAATGAGGAGAGATTTATTGCATTTGGACTTCTGGATCTGAAATTAACTTTAGTAAGAGTCTGGGTTGACCGACATCCAGCACTTTGTTCCATTAATATTAACAGTGTGGTGAAAACAGACCCAGAGAGAAAGAGACACCTTTTCATTTATTCATCTGATTGGTATTCGGTCAAATTAAACGCAGCTACAGATAACTGTCCAGGCCGATAATCAGTCCCCCCTTTTATTAGAGGTTCATTTCTGTTGCTAATTCTTGTTTTTATTTTCCTATAATAAATAAGACCATCAGAGGATAAACGGCCTCTGTTATAAACACTCCTCCTGCATATTTAGTAGTTTCATTAACTCACCGTCTGCTCCACTTACAGGAGCAGCAGTGGTGATCCTAGAGTCTGTTGGGGCCCGGGGCAAAAATGAATTAGGGGCCCTTCAACTGACGATCATCCCCATCATGTCTGTCCCGACGCTGATGCTCCATTCATGTGGAGTCGGACACATCACCATTGAAGTTGTAAAATGCACATGAGCGCCTGCTCAAGTCGGAAAAACTCAACAAAAAAAAATGAAGGTGCCCAACTTGCCGACTTGACATCTGAATTGTTGTCACGAGGGGCAAAAATGTTTTATTAGCGTTAAGATACTTTTTATTAATCATCGTCTTTGTAGTGTCCACGCTGTGTGTTGTGGTTGTTTCAACATTCCAACTTTCCAAACTGAAATCATGTGAACACACTGAAGTCAGAAGAACGACTTCCTGACTCAGGAACTGGGATCGTCCGAGGAGCACCTGAATGCAGCATCACTCCTCTTCCTCTTTTTCCTGATTCTTTTTTTTCACTCTATAGACGGATTAAATTAATTTAATTGAAAAACTTTGGTTTTTCAGCAGGGATACGAGAGTAAGTGCTGTCAGATGGGGCCCCCTTAGTGAGGTTTCCTACTGTCATTTGCATATTTAGGGCCACTGTTTATGAGCCCTCAGGGGCCCCCTACTGGTCTGAGGCCCCAAGCAGTTGCCGGTTGACAAGCAGTTCCTCTAAGGAGTACAGATTGTAATACAATAAACATTGGCCACAGAAGAGGAGCAGAGTTAATCATTTTAACTGTCCAACAGTCCAAAGGCTGAGACAACATAGTGATGCATTCTGAGTGAACTTAGTCCTTATTCAGCAGTGCTGGAGGTGATGTGTTACAAAGCAATGCACCTGTGTACTAACTCAGATTGCTTATTTGTTGTTATAAGTTTTATAATATACTGGTTTTGCAATGTAAGTAATCAGTTATTATTTATAAGAGACTGAAAAATAACACTGGAACTCAGATCTGGTCCACTGAATGGAGCAGCTCTCCTTTGACTTCTCTCCGTTTATTTTACAGAAATAAGATTGACTAAAATGTTAACAATTACTTATTAACACAGAAAATGACGTCATTATTAAATATAATTAATTATATATATATATATTAATTTATATGAATTCAAGGTGAACAAGGGTCAACTTATCTCTTTTCTGTAAGTCGCAGTCAAATATTCAGATTCAAAGAAAGTGACTGATCGCAGTGGGCGGGGTCTTCAGTCCTGCTGTCCAATCAGAAGTCAGAGTTGGATGTCGTGGGCGGGATGAGGTATGATCCTTGAAGCTCACGAGCTTCACGCAGTCAGGCAGGAGATCGAAATGGCGGCACCAGCAGAGAGGATGGAGGTAAGGTCTTACAGCAGGAAACACAAAATATACTGCTTTAAAATATGTTTTTATTTTATTAATTAACTCTGATTTAAACTGATTTATGAAACATGTCTGAGTGTTTTAAAACCGTCTGAAGTCGAGCTTCGTGTCGTTACGTTCTCTGAAGAAAGAGATGCGACCATTTTAACTTCTGAAGAGTCTCATTCATTTAAAACACACGCAGTTCAGAGATGATTCAAACTCTAGAGACGTTTACGCTTCAATGTCTGTGTTAATGTAAATGTATAGTTATCAGAGTACCCACAGACACGGGGTGTTAAGCCGGGGTGAAAGTGTAAAAAAGCGGCCGGCTGAGTCTCATCAGCCGGAGGGACCGCATGGAGACGAACGTGTTAGCATGTTAGCTTGAGGATGCTGCCTCATTCTCCGTCTGCTTCAACGCTGCTCCACTGTTAGCCACTGTTAGCTCCCGCTGTTAGCCACCATTAGCTGGTGATGCTACACTCATGCGCACATCTGTCCCCACAGTGAGCGGCTTCATTAGTGGTAAACAGTTAATTGACCTCGGCTCTTACGTCCATTTGTGTGATTTATGACTCATTAGGAGGTCAGAAGGTGAAGTCTAACACCTTGTAGGTAACTTTGCGGGACTCCGTTACATGCGTGTCGGCGCCACCGGCTGCAGTTTAAAGGCCTGCTGGTCGGTAGGTCTTACCGGGGATTAGTGGTGATGGTTAGACTGTCGGTGTCTCTGTGTGGGGTTAACGGTGTGTGAGGTTAACGGTGTGTGAAGAGCGAGGCCTGAAGCTACCCCATCACTCTCAGGTTAAGCACCATGTGCTCCACCTTTGTGCTCCGAGGAGGCTGGCCTGGTTACAACTTGGCCAACACAGAAACCCTCATAACTCTTAATTTAATAATTTAATTAATCTAATCAGTACCCAGATGAAGAACTAAGATACTCAAATTAACCTGAGGGTGCAGGACGCGTCCTCAATGGTTTAATTGTGTTTGCCGATATCTGCTTTGTTACTTATCACCCTCAGGCTACATAAATCGTCTGTTTGAACATAATATTTAAAAAGCTAAAAAAGACCTCGCTGTGATTAAGAGTGCTCAAACAAATATAATAAATTACTTGACATTGAACAAAAGCAATTTAATCATCAAATGTTTATCAAGATTACCCACAATCATAAACGTATGAAACAGATTATCGACAGCCAGATCTTCCTCCAGGTCATTTATCATCATCAGTAGCTCCTGGTATCAGGAGCAGCAAACTTCAACACCGTTTTCATATCTACACTCCTGAAAACTTCTAGATAATTCCCGGAGGACTGCTCCAGAAATCCTTACGCAAGATATGGTGTTTAAAAAACACAATGGAAGTGGAGTACGAAGCAGCAATGTCCACAACGCTTTCATAAGAATATTTGTCTTTATATCAATGCTGCGTGTAGTTCAACAGAATCACAATCTGAACTAAACCTAAGTGGCTCAGGCCCCGCCCACTGACACCTCAGCACACCTGTGCGATCCCTGTGTGATGTGGTAATGACACATGTGAAGTTGTCTGCAAAAAGCCTTTTTTTTTTGGTAATTTAGAGTAAAATGAGCACTTCCAATATTACTTTGAATGTCCTGGCCAACAGAATCCATCTGAAAATGTGTTGCATGTTGTGATGTAACAGTGTGTAACTGTGTGTGTCTCTGTTGAGGTTTCTCAGGGGGAGAGCTCAGCCAAGCCTTCAGCCGAGGACATGACATCAAAGGATTACTACTTTGACTCCTACGCCCACTTTGGCATCCACGAGGTGATTTCTTTGAAAATAAACTCACTAAAGCAGCTTCATATTTACCACAAATAAAAGCTTTAACCCAGTGTGTGTTTGTGTGTCTGTAGGAGATGCTGAAGGATGAAGTCCGTACCCTGACGTACCGTAACTCCATGTTTCACAACAAACACCTGTTCAAAGATAAGGTGGTGCTGGATGTAGGCAGCGGGACGGGAATCCTCTGCATGTTTGCAGCTAAAGCCGGAGCCAAGAAGGTTATAGGGGTACGTACTGAGACATGTGGATCCATGTGTAGGCAGTGTCTTCTTTCAGGTTGCACAGTGAGTTTAAACTGTTGTTGTTGCAGATCGAGTGCAGCAGCATCTCAGACTACGCTGTGAAGATCGTGAAGGCCAACAAGATGGATGATGGTGAGTGAGCAGATTCAGAGCTGAGGGGAAACTTGGTGTCAGGATCAGGGAGTAATCATCTTCTCTTTTTGGGTTTGAAGTTGTGACCATCATCAAGGGGAAGGTGGAGGAGGTGACTCTGCCTGTGGAGGGAGTAGACATCATCATATCGGAGTGGATGGGTTACTGCCTCTTCTACGAGTCCATGCTCAACACGGTCATCTACGCCAGGGACAAGTGGCTGGTACGACCTCGTCCGTTTGAATATTTGACAGACTGTAGATATTTCTGTAGAAGAAGCACTCTGATCCAGATCTCAGAATCTTTCTCTTTAAGTTGTAAATCTGTGTTTAGATGCTTCTGGTGAGTTGAAACCGGAACATGTTTGAGCTGTAGTCTGAACAGTCTTTTCTTTTCCAACAGAAACCAGACGGACTCATCTTCCCCGACAGGGCGACTCTTTACGTCACCGCCATTGAAGACCGGCAGTACAAGGACTACAAAATCCACTGTGAGTACCGAAGCTGCCACACGTCAGATCTACCTTTTTATAATGACTCGTTATTTCTATCTGAAGCAACATAAAACCTTGATTAAATGGATGTGACATTATTATGGCCAGTAAAAAAAAAACGTGTGCTTGGCTGTGGAGTCGACCCTGCCGGCTTACTGTGCTGTGATTGGTTCTCCTGGCTTATTGGTTAAAGCCTCTTTGCTCTCACACAGGTGTTTAATTATTCTGATTAGACCATGACAGGTTATAAATATGTCAAGTCCTCCTTCCCTAACCAAATCAGTTTCTCCAAATCTAACTGGTTAATGGTGCTGTCAGTTATTTTGGCCACGCCCACATATTCCTGACAACATGTTTTGACTCTGTCTCTTTTTAAAACTTACCTAAACATGACCAGGAATGAGGTTAAAGGTCACAGTGTGGTTATTTTTAGTTTGAAGTCAAACAGGATCTTTACCTTAATGTGACTGTGTCAACATGTAATCCTGGCTGAGAGTCCTGAAGGTAGTGCTCTGTATCAGCCAATCACAGGGCAGGGATGACAGGTCTCTGTTTGGAGGGAAAAGATGCCTTCTGGGAGGATTATAGTCTAGTTATGATTCAGTGATCCTGTGCTGTGAGGAGACTACATCTGCAGTCAAGAGTCCCTGTGTGTTAATGATCTGACCTTTCTGTGTCAGGGTGGAGAACGTGTACGATTCGACATGTCGTGCATTAAGGAGGTGGCGATAAAGGAGCCCCTGGTGGATGTAGTCGACCCTAAACAGCTGGTCAGCAGCGCGTGTCTCATCAAGGTGGGTGGATTCTGATGATTCCAATGATAATCAATAATAATAATTTATCATACCAAGTCACTTTAATCATCACTTGTCGTCATCAATACTGTCTCAATTCCCTGCATAGTTAACTTCATCATTTTTGTACTGTATATACCACCTGTTTTTATTTTTATTTATCTTATCTATTCTGTTTAATGTGTATTTTGAGCTTTTTTGTCTGTGGTGCTGCAACGCCTGAATTTCCCCTCTGGGGATTATAAAGTATTATCCTATCCTAAATATGTGTGTATAAAGGAGAATTGTGTGATCTAACTTTGACCCCATCTGTTTTCAGGAGGTGGACATCTACACGGTGAAGGCGGACGACCTCACCTTCACCTCGCCGTTCTGCCTGCAGGTGAAGAGGAACGACTACATCCACGCTCTGGTCACTTACTTCAACATCGAGTTCACTCGCTGCCACAAGAGGACCGGATTCTCTACCAGTAAGTGAACACACCACACACCTGTTGTCTTAACACTTGTATCCTGAACCTGACTGATCGCTGTGCAGCATTTACCCAGCAGGCAGTTTGTCTCATTAGCTCTGACTGGAACAAACACGGCTGAACATCTAGTCAAACTCTGTGACATATCTGCTCGTTCCACTTGGTTCTGAATCAGTATCATGAACATCCGCAGGCCAATACAGGGGAATAAAAGCAGACAGTTTAAGAAGTCTGTCAAGTACACTCCTACAAACTAATCGAGCAGGCATTTAAGAATAAGGTCTCCTTCTGATAGGGTTAGACTGCACTGACCTGATGGAGCCTGCAGGTGGATCCTCTGTGTGCTACAGGTTCTTGGATCTTGTGGCCCTCAGTCTGTATTATTTGGAGGTGTATGTTGTGGACTGTTGACACACTGTATTAATGGAGCCTGTTTCC